AATTTTTTAAGTATCTGAAAATTTCAAAAAGCTTAGTTTCAGAACTCGAAAATACGACAAATTTTCATTTAAAAAAAATGACTGGAAATTTCAAATGAAATTCTTTTCATTCCTTTCAAAATATTTCACAAAATCTATTTCTCTTTTCCCCACCAGCTCCATTGATTAGCTTTATTCATTTAGGATATTTCCTAACTGAACTGCAGCAGATCTTCTCCAAGAAACAGAAGATTACTCATGAGAGACACACACCCCTACAGCAGTCGTTTTCAAACTTCTTTTCTGGCGACACAGTTGAAGAAAATTGTTGATGCCCGTGACCCAACAGAGCTGGGGATAAGGGGTTTGGGAGGGGCTCAGGGCTGGGGCAGAGGGTTAGGGTGCAGGGGTGAGGGCTGCGGGGTGGGGCTGGGAATTAGGGGGTTCAGGGTGTGGGAGAGGGCTCTGGGCTGGGGCAGGGGGTTGGGGTGCGGGAGAGGGTCAGGACTCTGGCCTGGGAGTGCAGGCTCTGGGGTGGGTGCAGGATGGGGCTCCAGGTTTGGGGTGGGCTCAGGGCTGGGGCAGGGGCATGGGCTTACCTCCGGCAGCTCCTGGTCAGCAGTGCAGAGGGGGTGCTAAGGCAGGCTTCCTGCCTGTCCTGGCACCATGGACTGCACTGCACCCTGGAAGTGGCCAGAAGGAAGTCCGGCTCCTAGGCGGAGGCATACAAGTGACTCTGTGCAGCTCTCGCCTGCAGGCACCGCCCCCCCAGCTCCCTTTGGCTGGGAACTGGCCAATGAGAGTGCAGAGCTGGTGCTCAGGGCAGGGGCAATACACGGAGCCCCGTGGCGCCGCCGCCTAGGAGCCGGACCTGCTGCTGGCCACTTCCGGGGCGCAGCGCTGTGTCAGAACATGTAGGGACTAGCCTGCCTTAGCCGGGCAGCACTGCCGACGGGACTTTTAATAGTCCCGTCGGTGGTGCTGACCAGAACCGCCACGACCGAGTGCCTGACATTCCGCGACCCAGTACCGGGTCACGACCCGCAGTTTGAAAACCACTACCCTACAGCACTTGGCTGCTAACCACAAAACCCCTGACCCCTTCTTTGAAAATGCAAGGGGAAAGGAAGAGGCCAGGTGGGGTTGCTGCTGAGAACTTATTTGGGAGGAGCTCTACCCCAGCTGGCAATGTAAAACACATTGCTAAACCAGTGCTGCAGGCGCTTTCATCACTAAGGGGCTCTGACTCCTCAACAGGGGGAAGGAGATGGGGACAACATTTTCAGAAGCGTCCAGCATTATTATTATTTATTATGTGTATTGTGGTAGCACTCAGAGGCCTCAGTCCTGAACCAGGACCCCATTGTGCTAAGTGCTATACAGACACAGAACAAAAAGCTGCCCCCAAAAGTTGACAATCTCAGTAGATTTGGGTGCTCAGCTCCCCCCGTCCCCCTCCCTCAGGCCTGGTTTTCACTAGTAGTCAGCACTTACAGCACCCTTGGTTTCCAAGTGGAATTTGGAGCACTGAGCACCTCTGAAAAGTAGGCCTTTGATGGTCTCAACCTGGACACCCAAGACCTGAGGCCTCCCAACTAGAGATGTTGAGCAGCGGGTTGGACTAGATGACCTCCTGAGGTCCCTTCCAACCCTGATATTCTATGATTCTATGTGCGAATATCAGATTTTTTCTTTCATATTTCTTTGTAACTAAACAATTCGGAAACAAGACACCAATTCCAAAAACGTTCCAGTGTCGACGAAGCAGCTTTGCTCTCTGGGGAAAAAAGTTTTGGCTAAAAACGTTCAGCCAGCATCAGTGGAGATGTTTTGTAAACCCTTCCTGAGACAGGGGAGGGAGAGCGAGCAGTGTGTGGCCGGGCCAGAGGAGGAGGGAATTTGGGAGATTCTGTTGTATTTCCCTTGGGTGTGAAGGCACGCAGGTTTACGCAGCATTTTCCCTTGGCCCCAGAAAACCTCCCCCTGGGCTATATGAATATATGAATGCTGAATATATTCATATATGAATACATGAATGCATGGAAGGCCCGAGTGCCTTCCATGCATGGATTTCCCCTTCTCCGTGCAGAAGGGCGGATCAGCCCCTGCTGTGATACCCTTCCCCCGTCACTGTAGTAGAGGAAACTCCATGCTGGGGAGTCTCGAAGGGTGGGGAGAGTAGCAGGGGAAGAGACATACATCATTCTCTTTTGGCCTCTGAGGGCCTTAACAGAAAAAGATATTTCAGCCCCCAGCCTTTCCTGCATAGCCCCTCTGGGGACACAGACACTATCAGCAATCTAATGGAGCCAGGAAGCAGAGGGCTGCCCAGCTAAGACCACAGACACAGGGCTCTGAGAAGATGGTCCTGGCTCTTCCAACTAGGGTTGGGGGGGGGGGAGCACAGAGGTGACTCCATTTAGAGATTTCCTCCCACAGAGCCCCCTCCTGCAGCTTTTCAAAATGGGAGGGGATGATCTGATGCCCCATTTTTAACTTAAGGGCTTGTCTCCACTGCAGTGCTAGTTCAAGGTATAACTTGAGCACCGCCCCTAACCTCACTCCGGTCCACACACAAAAATCTCTAGCTTGGGTTAGGTGCTACATTAAACTTGAGCCGACAGGTCAGCTACCTCAAGCGAGTAACGCAGAAGGAATGCAGCTGCTCTGGGTGACTAATCTAACCCATCTGGGTTATCTTGTGGCAGGGTTGCTGTCACTCAAGCTAGCGAACTTGACTGTACGTGACCACAAAGTAAGTTTGAGTCAAGACATTCCCTTAGTCCACAGTGACTTCAGAGACAGGCAAACTGCTCAGAGGCCCGTTTTTTCAAACCTCTCTAATACTTTCCCTACACATGCACTTGATGGCTCATTCACACACCCTTTTTCCCAGCCCTCTCTAAAATCCTAGGGGTGAGGAGGATTTAGTTGAATTTACTTTTCAGAGGTGAGGTTTGGTTTTTTTTTTAAACACACAGCCCTGGATCTCACAGACCTCCTTCATAGAATCATAGAATATAAGGGTTGGAAGGGACCCCAGAAGGTCATCTAGTCCAACCCCCTGCTCGAAGCAGGACCAATTCCCAGTTAAATCATCCCAGCCAGGGCTTTGTCAAGCCTGACCTTAAAAACCTCTAAGGAAGGAGATTCTACCACCTCCCTAGGTAACGCATTCCAGTGTTTCACCACCCTCTTAGTGAAAAAGTTTTTCCTAATATCCAATCTAAACCTCCCCCACTGCAGCTTGAGACCATTACTCCTCGTTCTGTCATCTGCTACCATTGAGAACAGTCTAGAGCCATCCTCTTTGGAACCCCCTTTCAGGTAGTTGAAAGCAGCTATCAAATCCCCCCTCATTCTTCTCTTCTGCAGGCTAAACAATCCCAGCTCCCTCAGCCTCTCCTCATAACTCATGTGTTCCAGACCCCTAATCATTTCCCTACCGATGAAGTTCTGTGGCACATCTACAAAACAGAGCAAAGATAAAAAGGGGTGTCGTTTATAGCTGAAAAACGAGGGTGAGGCATGAACCAACGCTTATTTTCATACTTTTTCCCAATACATACCTTGTGTTTGCATACCGATTGTGCCATGCTACAGGCCGAGACAATGGACCCATTACAACACTCAGAATTTACACCTCACTTTGCAAACCACAGCAGTCGCATTCAGCTAATCCAGCCAACCCCTAAGCAGACTTCAGGGAGGCTGCTCTGTGCTTCTCAGTCGGGCTAACATCCTTGTGAGGTAGGGGAGGCGTCATTAGCCCCATTTTACAGATAGCCTTTTGGTGCTGCCATTCCCTAAGGACGACCTTTTCAGAAGTGCCCACCGATTTTGGGTGCCTCAGTATTAGGGTATCCAGATCTAGGCACCTGGATTTTCATAGGTGCTGCATACCCACTGCTCTGACTGCCTGTCACTGGAGTTGTAGCCACTCAGCACTTGGGCACCCAAAAATTAAAGAACTCAAAGACAGTGGAGCAATCCAGACTCAAGTGGCTTTCCTAAAGACCACACACCATTTAGTGTAAGAGCAGAGAATCAAACGCCAGAGTGTCTAGTTCCTACCCCTGCGATTAGACTATGTCAAGGGACCAGAAAGTCAGTTTCCATCATCTACCCTGTCCTGGCAAGTTACTTCATACAGGCAGACCCCTGCACCGAGCCCAGCTGACTACATCCTGTCCCCAGTGGAGAGACAGCTCACAGGAGCGATTGGATCTGGCTTGCGGAGCAGCTTGTAGGAGATCAAGGCCATAGAAGTGCTATATGACTATATATAATATTATATATATAGCGGCTGCTCATACCCCTTCCACTCCCTGCCTGACCCAGCTGCCAGGGACAGGGGCCCAGGGTGCCAGAGGGCAGGCACAGCAGGAGGACAGAGCCCCTCTTGGGCAATCTGGGAGAGGGAGGGAGCATTTGACCCTGTGTGCCCCCCCGTTGGTTGAAATCCTGGTCCCATGGAAGTTAATGGCAGAACTCCCATTGTCTTCACTGGGACCCGAATGTCCCCCCAAGTGCAGACACCGAGGGACGGTGTCACTCACCACAAAACTGCAGCCACTTCTGGGGTGCCGCACAGCCACTGCTGGACAGCACACAACAAAAGCCACACAAACAGTAAGCGAAGAACACCCCGTCCAAGGAAAGCTGCAGCATATGGCATCCAAACGCCACAGAGGACCAGCCAGCTGCAGTTACTGCCTGGCAGGCAATTTTAACCATGAACATTATTTACTTTATGAGCCACAGAAACCCTGGCACTCTCTCCTGCTGTGCATCAGAGGTCTCCAAAGATGACATGCATTAAAGCAGAAGCCAGCCTACTCCAGCTGAGGGAAAGCAGGATCAGAAAGGCTGGGACAAGCAGGCAGCTCCAGCCCAGGGCATTCTCCTTAAAGGCTCTTGGGAATCAAGAAAAGCCCAATTTGGTACTAGCTTCATTCCAGCTCCTCTTTCCCCAGGCCAGCTGTTCCCCCCGACACCTCCCAGCCAGCTCCCCCTCTCACCCAGAAGTTCCCCTTGAACAGAGTCTCCTTCATGGTGCAGGAAGGGCTGCAGCAGAGTCCCCCAGCGCCCCAGGCTGCAGAGTCTGAGCCACACCGAGAACCGAGAACTTTTTAGTTCCTCCTCAATCCCTGGCGCCTGCCGCTGGCTCCTCTGGGTCCTAAACCCCAAAGCCAGCAACCAGCCACCCTGCTTTTTCCTCTCCTCCCTGCCAAAGCAGCGATTATCTGCATGGGATTGCAGGACTTTCCCCTTTCCTTTCTGGGCTTGTTTCCTTTTTAGTGGCTCTTTTCTTGAGGAAGAAGGGCAAGGAATAGAGAAAGTCTGGGTTTTAGGAGTGAAGAGCCCAGCAAGCGCACACCTGGCTGGATGTTTCCTCCCTGGGCTAGTTAATGACTGCAGCAGATTACAAAATCACGGGTCACGTCCCTGCCCCTAATCGGTGTGGGCTAGTGGAGTGAGCACTGGGCTGGGGCTCAGGAGACCAGAATTCTATTCTCAGCTCTGCCGCTGGACTGCAGGGTGACCTCAGGCAAGTGACTCTTAGTTCCTCCGTTTCCCCATCTAAAAATGGAGAAAATTAGTGATACTGACCTCCTTTGTAAAGTGCTCTGAGATCTACTGATGAAAACAGCTGTAAGAGTTAGGCATTATGATTAACAATAATCATATGTTAAACCGCTAATGCATGTACAACCCTTTGCAGGTGTAAAGCATTATGAGGCAAAGAACATGGTCAAGAATGATGTGGGGCCAGATTTTCAATTGCTCCATGCCCACGACTGGCTCTGGATGGGCCTCAGCCTTTCCAAGTGAATGATCTGAAACACACACAGTTATTTGCAGGGCTGAATCAAGGGGTGAGGGTGAGGAGTAATTCAAGGGCAGAATGGAAATACCAAGAGAAAGAGGAAAAAACACCACCAGTAATCACCGCCCCCTGGTAATCACCTTCCCAAATACCAAGACAGCAAATAATCAGGGTTTCTTTAAAGAATCCCTGGGATGTAGGCACAGTTCCATTGCATGTGTGCCAACAGGCAAAGAGCACAATTAGTTCCGTGCAACTGGCTGGGCAGCATTCCCACAAGGTGTGTGTGAATTTCCCCTCAGATTAGATCACTAACAGATTCCAAGACAAGAGGGTTCATTGTGATCATCTAGTCTGACCTCCAGTAGACCGGAAACCTCACCCTAGGATTGCTCATCCCCTCAGAAAATCAGACTCTTTCACGGTGTCTCGAGTTGGACACCCAAAATTAGCGCCCGCTTTTGATCTTAAGGAAGGCCAGAGCCCCTCTCCCCCTCAGTCGGGCAATCTGGAGGCACCTTTGATCCTAGTGTCACACAGTGAGCTAGGAGCATTGCCAGGATGAGAACCCAAGCTTTGTCCTACTAATCGCTAGACAGTGCTGCTTTCCTTGCATGCATCTGATTATTTTCCATAGAGCCAATGCCTTGCTTTAGTAATAAGCACTGTCGCCAGCAAGAACCTTCTGACGTGAACCTGCAGGGCCATTTACTGACATCTGACTAATCAAACACAGCCTAGAATTAGTCAGTCTCGTGGCTGCTTTTCAGCCACTGGATAACCAAAACCTGCAGAAAACCAGCATATCCTAAGGTAATATTTGCTGTCAGTCACTTACTAATGCTTCTTCCCACAAAGAGGCAAAGGGGGAGGTAGATCTCACTCAGGTTAAGTTAACTTGTGTGATTGGCACCTGAGTTTTAATCTTGCCTGGCTGGCTCTGAGCAGCCCTACTGCAAAAAGTGTCCTACGAGCATTACTGTGTCCTCGCTGTTTCTGCACTCCCCCAGGTGTTGCTGGAGGGTACAGCCCATGGTTCTTTGTGCCGAGACACTCTAGGCTAGGATTCTTTCCCACTCAATAGTGAGAGAACTACTCAATCCTTCAGAGGGCACCATGGTAAGGCACGGGAGGACTATAAGCACTGAAGTGATTTAGCCTACATCCACACTGCAAAGCGGGCAAGTTCCAGCCCAAGCTGAAGTAGAGTCTGGGTTCTAGTCTATGCACCCATAAGATCAGCCCAGGTTTAAAGCACCTCCCAATCCAGATAGGAGGTTTTTGAGTGTGGGTGGGAGGGTTGGGCTAAAACCTGGGTAAGAACCTGGGTTAACATTGCAATGTAGACGTGTAGCTGCCTACCTGGTTTATCACATGCTGTAACTAACAAGGTAAACCCAAATCACTCCATGGCAGGACAGTGTTGTCCCTAGGAGAAATGATCTAGAGATAAAATGAGAATCTGCTGGAGCCCATGTCGCTGTGTGCAAAGGCCCCATGCAGCTGCATTGGCTCCAGGGACCCTTGCCATTTCCAGCTTCCATGTCAACTACTTACTATGGCTGCAGAGACTGTATTTACTTCTCAAAGGACTGCAGGTTAAAAGGGGCGATGAAGCACACATCCCCAGCCCTGGAGGGTACACCACCAGCTCCCAGAATGCGGAAAGATTCTGCTATAGAGGCAGCTATCCACATTTTCCACGTTAGTAAGGGGTCTCCTCTGCATGGAACCATCCAGACCTTAGCTTGCAAAGTGCGTTGGGATCCTTCAGAATGAAAGCGTGACAATAAGCATCCTGTGTTGTTGTGAGGTGTCATCTAAACCCATGTAGAAAACCTGGAGGAAATAGGCCCTTCTACTTGAAAACGTCAAAGGATCATCTCTAGTCCTTTGCAGGACACAAAAGAAACCACCAAGATTTGCCCAATGCTAGATGGACATAACACCATTCAGCCCCAAAATACCAAGGCTTCTATCTAGAAGAGGAGGGGGAGCTTGTAACTTTCTTATGATTTCTGGGCCAGCCATTTGAAGGAGACATAGTCATAAATACTTGAGCAGCTCTTGCCATTCCATCCTGGACAGGGCAACAGTAGCTGTAGCTGTCACATGCTGGTAATAATGTGTATGAAGAGGTGGGAAGGGAGAACACCACGTGGAAGGAGGAATGAGCTCTCAGGGTGGTTCATTACAGGCTTTAAGTAGCTTCATAACCATTAGCAATGTCATTTGTTCATTAACATCCCACAAAAGCAGAAAGACCTGGCTGTTCCCTCAATGAATCCGCCCTGTCAAATTACTAAGAATAACTCTGCCACCTGATGAGAAAAATAAAACAGGTTCCTGCTCTATTGCCCTGTAATATACATGTGGATGTCACATAACCCTGTGATTCAGAGCCGGAACGGGAAGCAGGGCTGTTGAGAATAATAATTAAATCCATTAGTCTCCCTTTCTATTCAGGGTAAAGATAAGGAAAGCTTTGGGTCAAGTCAGTCCTCAGTGCAAAGAGATTTGTCTGTTTTTAAATGGGACAATGGCAGGCACCAATCTAATTAATTCCTCCTAATGGGGTTTCTTTCTCCTCTGATACAGATTGAGGGTCTGCAGCATCCTTAGGGAAGGGATATTTGTACAGTTTAACATACCGGTGCACGATTGGCCTCTTTGAGAGAACAAAAGGCTACCCATCATGAAGTATGTTTGAAGAGGCAACATTCCATGCTCAGTAACCACAGCATGAAAACTATTAACTCATTAGGCTTCCTAATTCCTGTCCCAAGACTGATGGAATAATGACTCTCCACGTATGTTGGCTCAAGCTTTGGGGGTGTATAATGAAAGAGCACTTGACCTGCTTGGCTAAATTACACCCATCCAAGAATCTACTGGTGCTCCGGGAGTATTCATGGACTTAGCCTCATTGCTTGCAGAGTTTGCAAAGCCAGCCTTAGACACACAGAACAATTTTTCACACAGATGCACAAAGCCAATGATTCTTGGGAACCATGATCACAGGCAGAGCTCCCTCTGCTGCCAGGAAGAGGAGAACCTGAAATAGATTTCTGTACTTGTCGTGTCCAGAGAAGCCTTTAGGGCTTCTCAAAACTTAACTGACTTATTGTTTATCAAACAGAGTAGAAACACCCTTCCTGGAAGGGATGGTCTTGTGCTTAAAGCACTGGCCTGGGACTCAGGAGACCTGGATTCAGTTCCCTGTTCAGCCACAAACATCCTGTGTGACCTTGGCCAAGTCACTTAGTGTCTCAGTGTAAAACGGGGATAACAATATTATTACTAATTTTTGTTACCATAGTGCCTAGGAGCCCCTGGCATGGATCAGAGCCCCATTGTGCTAGATGCTGTACAAACACACAACAGAAGGATGATTCCTGCCCCAAAGAGCTTACAGTCTAAGTACTTCTTTTCTCCCACTCCAATTGTCTTAACTATGCATATTGTAAGCTTGCCGGGGTGGGGTTTGCCTCTCTCTATGCGCATGTACAGTGCTGGGCACAATGGGGTCCTGATCTCAATTGCCGTCTCTAGGCACCACCATAAAACAATAATCGTCATCATCAGCTTCCGAGCCTACGTAAAGCCTAGCTATAAGCTGGAGATGGCCCATCATTTCCAGCTCTCAGAAAGGTTAGTTGAGGGATCGTCCTTCAAATGAACTGAGGCTGTGTGCTAGGTACTGGAGAATGTGGATGCATTCTGGTGAATTTGAGCACATATATGACTAGTGTTATACAATCACTAACTAGTTAATTGTCACAGGCAGATAAAGTAAAGTATCTGCATCACAGGTTTAAATATGGGGAAACTGAGGCAAAGATGCTAAGTGACTTTACTAAAGCCACAGAGGGAGTCAGTGATTGAGCTGAGATTAGCCCATTGCAGTCCTTTGCTCTCAGTAGCTTATATGGGATCTACAGGGAAAACCACAGAAACATCATAAATGATCAGTTCCTATTGGTTTAGGCTGTCAGGGCTCCACAAGGAGAGGGGCTGGAATATATCTCAATATTTCTTGGTCTCTAAAAGCAGTGGGATCCCGTGGTCTGCATGTGTCCTAAAACCTGCCTCTGCCCCTGTGAGGTAGAGAAGTATTATCACCCTCTCAGAACAGGTAGGGAAACTGAGGCATATAATTGGTGAGTGATTTGACTGAGGTCACATGGCAGAGCCAGAAGCAGAACCCCCATCGCCTAACTCCAAGTCCTGCGTCATAACAACAAAATCACTCTCCCACCGGAACCTCTGCCTGT